CTGTATTATGCCCATTAGAGATTTTTTCCAATGTAAATTTCTACCATCACGTAAGGCAGCAACAAAAGATTCAGGTAAACCTTCTAAAGTTAAAGGTTTAAATGCAATTTGCACCAATCCAATATGCATAAACTTATAATTTTTATGAGATCTATATGATTCAATATCTGTAGCAAACAAAAGTTGTAAAACCCTTTCATCAGAATTTAAAGCAATTGATTGTTCAGTAGTTTTAACTACCTGTTTAACCAAGTATCGATCAAACATACCATATTCATACAAAGTATTAGTGGGTACCTTTGGTATTGACCATTTATTAAGAAGAGCAAGCTGTTGAGGCATATCGTATTCCTCTTTAACTGAATTTTTTATTGAAGTTGTTTCCAAATTATTCATTTTTAGATTAGGTTCTGAATCAAACAAATCTTTTGTAAACATAAAAAATACATAACCGCTCTGATACCAAATTGGCGTGGGGCAAATTGGCCTTGGCCAGTGCTTATCTTAGCCGGTAAGACCAGGCAAACAGACTAGCAAGGAAACCAGGCCGGAATCCAAACCACCACCCTGGCTGATACCATTCATCCGGGAGCTATGCCATGTCAGCCAGCTACAGGATCAAAATCTCTATCCATCCTTAATTAAAATATCAATAATCGAGATGTATGGAAAAGTTTCACCCGATTCTCAAGCCTGTCTGGAATTCACAACTTATTGTGCATCATGTGGCCTCTTTTTTCCCTTAAACAATTCATCATAACGGGTACTTTTCCAGCCCAATGCACTTATTGTTGAGTTTTCCGACTGAACTCGGAATCGGAACCAATCTCAAATCATTGTATTTTAATTAAAAGAGAAGAAGGAGATAGAGCTTCCATGTATAATTTATGTAAACAAAAGCCAAATGTTTGATTCAGACAAAGGATTTACTCAGACATTGTCTGAGTACTTCAAACTATAAATTAAAACAAACTTAAAGGAAAAAATTACCTTTAAAAGCTTCTTCTAATCTTCAAACTTGAAAGATATATTTACTGAATGATTTCTTTACAAGGGAGAGAGAGAATTTCGAGGGAAAGGAAGAAGAAAAGAGAGAATACTTGGAGAGACTGATGCCCTCCAAATGAGCTTCTACCTTCTATTTATAGACATTTCTAAATACTATTTTACAAAAAATTATTAATTCTTGTCATTATTTGACATGTTTTTCTTCAGATTTGACTGATGGTGGGGTCCACTTGTATTAAATTTCAAAAGTAGATTCCTACTTTTGTCACTTCATTCTTTTTCTTTTCCTTTGGTGATTGAAATTTGTTTCTTGGATCTGTTGTAATGATTTTTGATGAATTCATCGTGATCGTCATCTTTTCTCGGTGATTGAGATTCTCCTACCAATATTGCAAAAGAATTTTCTTCATTTGAAGTTATGCTCTTCATCGAAACATCGATTTTTCGAAATATTATCATTGTCGAGATTCTTTAAATTTCTCATGAGATCTGCTTTAACTTCTTTCATATAGGCGGATATTATCTCTTCCTTATTAATTGCTCCTTCTTTGAAGTGAATCCGTTTTGTGATGTGTTTGAACGGACTTTCTTCATCCGGGTTTGCTTTGAGTATCCTTTGTCTTGAGTATATTCCTTGATTTTCTGGGCAATTTCGTCCAAAGAAATCTTGTCCTTCCATTCTTTTGGTATTGTGATTCATCTTTGTTAATTTATCCCAAAATTTGGTATAATATGTCTTATAAAGACACGGAATTTGAAATTCATTGAATCCCACCTCAGGGACCCATTTATAAATCCAAGGAATCGAGAATTCAATAAAGAAGTATAACAGAGTGATTTTTCCTGGAGCACAGATATGACTGTGTTGAAGTTTATCAATGATAGGGGAGGATTTTAACCATTGATAATACAATTTTGAAAAATTATCTGGCAAAATTTTTTCTGTTGGGCCATATAATGCCCACCACTGAATAAACCAATTGGGTATGGGAGAAGAATATACATGGGAGCATATTTTAATGAACCAAGTATGCTTTTTTCTGGGGTTTTCATAATAAAAAGTTTTATAAAAACTTTGAATATAATCCCAGTAAGTAAATTTCAAAGGAGGAGAAGTAGGAGTATTACGTACTTCTCTTTCAGAAAGGGTTGAAATTCCCCATTCCTCAGAAGATAAAATCTTTTTGATAATAATTTTTGAGAAGTTATAAACTTCAGTTGTAGTCTGATTAGACTGAAAATGTGTTATTTCACATGTTTGTTTGAGAATATTCTCATAATAATTTCTGGGTTTGTATGACTCACCCGGTATCATTACCCTTCTCGCTAGATATCTTCGAATATTACCCATGGATCATTTTTCCACCGAATATCGCGCGTTTTCAAGAAGGAATATTACCTCCTTTGTGGATCCTTTTTCATATGACCGGATATCATCACAGTCGGTGTCACTTACTTTGGCAGAAAGGTATCACTTTGTTGCTCTTGGATATGATCCATAATCGCTTATATAATGCGTAATCATTCTGAATAAAATCCATTATTTGGACCAATTTCGCATTCGATGAGGAGGATTCCTCCTGAGATTTTGAAAAATCAGCAGCTATTAGCTTTTTATTCCCATGTTGTATTACAGGGTTTATTGTTCTTCCTCCACGACCTCTATTAGGGCCGCGTCCTCTATCGGGCGGATACATAATCCTGTAAAATTAGAGAATTATTAATGATAATTTTGCTTTACAATAATTCAACCTTTCTTCACTTTCAGTTAATCTTTCAGTGAAGTCTTCTATCATATCATAGACAAATTCAAGGTCTTTTGAAACAGATATTATCTGTTGTGGTGAAGTAAATTCATCAGCACAATCAACAATTGTATTACGAACTCGTAAAAAGTGATTTAGTCTATGCTTCGCAAAAATATATTCCGTTCTACAATGCCTATATTCAGCAACAATCTTATTATAAGCAATATGTATTACGGATAGTGGTCTAAGATAATCAATTTGTGGCCACTCCATCCTGCAAATATTCACGTGATAAAAAATCAGGTAAGGAATTATCACTACCTTTTTTATATAAAATTTCAAAATCAAAAGGGGCTAAATTAGCTTACCATCGAGCATATATTTGCTTTGAAGAATCATGCTTATAATCTTTATAAATCATGTGTTTAACAGCAAGTGCATCAGTGTGAATGACAAATGACTGATTAAATAAATCATCTTGGAATTTTAATACACATTTTACAATTGCAAGAAATTCTTGTGCAACAGTTGCATATTTCTTTTGAGGTTCTGTCCATTTACCAGAATAATATCTAATAAGATATTCATTATTATCATGAGGGTTAATCTGTTTCAAGATTCCACCGAATCCTATGCTACTAGCATCGTTTCTATTATCTTTTCCAATTTGGATTTGCTAATGTTAAACATGGTAGAGTTTTTACCTTTTCCTTTATTTGTTTAACTAATTGAGTATGCTTGTTCATCAATCAAATTTAATTGATTTTTAAGCAAATCATATAAAATTGCTAAATCTTTCGTAAATTCTTATAGTATGGTGAAATATAATTTAAACTCCCTAGAAATCTCGGAGTTGAATTTTCTCGTGAAAACATCGAAAATTTAGAAGAAAATTCAATTGATCTTTGAATAGGAGTTATTTTCCTTGACTTATTTGATGACCAAGAAATCTTATATTATGTTGAAATAAAAGCATCTTTGGTTTAGATATTACTAAGCCATTTCGTAAAATAACATCCTTTAATATATTAAGATGTTTAAAATGTTGTTCAATATTATCGAGAATACTAAGATATCATCAATGTAAACAATTATAAAATCCATATAATGAATAAATATATCATTCATGATTTTCGAAATTCGAAGGAGCATTTTTAATCCGAATGGCATCACATTCCATTCAAATTGTCCTATAGGTACATTAAAAGCGATTCTATAAGTATGCTCAGGATTTATTTGAATTTGCCAATATCCAGATTTTAAATCAAATTTAGAAAATATGTTGGCATTATATAATTTTGATAATAAATCCTTTTTATTAGGTATAGGATATCTTATCCATTTTAAAACTTTATTAAGTGGCTTATAGTTTATTACTAATCTCGGGACGCTTGCTCTTTTCATTGCATTATTAACATAAAATGCGATACATGACTGAGGAGATTGTGAAGGTTTTATTAAACCCTTTTGAAGTAAAGAATGTAATTCTTCTTTACATAAATTCATATATACAGAATTCATTTGACATGGTCTTGCCTTAGTAGGAATATCCTTTTCATTGAAATTATCTTCATAAGGAAGATTAACTAAATGTTTCTTTCTATTCCAAAAGCATTTGGGTGATCAAGACATACCGATTCTTGAAATTGTATTGTGATATGTTTTATTTTTCTTGTAATTTAGTATTACTCAATAATTCAGGTATTGATAAATTCATAATTTCATTTTTAATGAAAAATAATTGTTTTTCTTTAGCTTCTATTAATGACCTAATAGACCTTGTTATAGGGTCTGAGACAAACTGAAAATTTATTAATTTATCTTTATAGGTTCCTGTAAAACCTTGAAAATCGGGTGAAACTTTTCCAGACAGCACAATAAGTTTATTTTATATAAACAATAAATTTTTTTTAAACTATTAATTTTTCATTAATTAATAGACTATAAATAAACAATAAGTTTAAATAAACAATAAGTTTATTTAGATAAACAATTCAGGTATTAATTTAGATAAATTTATTTTTTGTTTTTTTTTTGCAATTACTAAATAGTCTAATATCATTTAGATTCATATAAACGAGGCGCGACAATACAATATTAGTAATTATTATATTAGATAGATTTAAATTTCTCTGAAAATAGTTAAAAGAAACATTCAAAAAAAAAAAAAGAAGCTTTTATTAGTAATTTGTTTTGACAAAATCCTAAGGGTAAGAGTCAAAAAGAAATCTTAAATCTCAAGTCAAATGGTGTCACAGTTAGTATTTTCTTTACAGCAGTTTCGCTTCAATCCCAAGTATAATACAGATTTTTAAAATCTTCTTCATAATTAAGTCAAAATAATTTGCAAATATTTTCAGCTGAATCCCACCGTTTTCAAGTCCCCGTCAATTCTTTCGTTTTCCCCTTCAGTCAAGTTCAGTCTTTGTCTCACTCTCTTTATTGGTTCTTTTGGATTTGGAATAGGAATTTAGGTAGATCGGCTTCTTGTTGGCCCTCTTTCAATTTGCAGTTCTAAAATAATAATCCCACAAAAAAAGTTGAGGGAGTTGGAAAAATAATGGCGCAAGAGAAAGATGCCACCTCGATACCGCTCAGTCAAAGCGTTGATGAAGAAGATCCCGAAAACCCCGTCAAATCTCCCCCAAATTCTTCCAATTCTTCCACCCGTAAGGTATGTATTTGACTGTATCCGTTCTATTTTGAGCAAGGTTTTTAGTCCCAGATTTTGTATTTTGATAATTATTCTGGAGTTTGTTGCATATTTCATGGAACCCATTTTATGGGACCACTGAAAATGGGAGTATTTTTGCACATTGTAAAGAGGGAGGGAAATGAAGAGAGAGAATCGGTTAATTGTAATGCGAGAAAGATGGAGTGGATTCCTGTCACTGAGGAGTAAGATTAATGTTGAGCTTATTGTGATTCGTTTATGGGTTGAATGCATCATTAAGGCCTAGCCCTCAAATTAAAAAAGAAAATGGTTTCTTAGGGTGTTTGTCATGTGTTGTATTGTTGATGAATTGAGTTATGGATGGTTAATGTTTCTTCAAATTGTTGGGTAGCAATTGTTGCCATGAGACAGATCTAAAAATTTCACTCGTTCTGCCGTGAGAACGAAATATGGGTGGATCAAGAATTTTGCTGCTGGATGTTAAGCAGAATCAATCATGGCATATTCCATAATAGAGTTGCAGCTAGGATGAGTCATCATAAAATTTTGAATATTTGGGAACACATGAATGTGCTGCATGTTTGTGAGTAAACAATTATTGTATCAGAATCAGAGATCTTAGGATGCCCCAATAATTGTTACTTGATGCAAATAGATATTGCAATTAGGAAAGCTAGGTGATTCAAACAAGTTGCTGCCTGCTATTGTTCCACTTATGTACACTGCTTTCAAAAAGGTTGAGATCACTAAGATGCAGCTGCTGCTGCAGCACTATGGAATGTGTTTAAGATGTTGGTTTCTAAGTCCTTGAGTTCTCGTCAGACAAGTGAAAATGCTGGATATTGTTAGAGACTAAAATGTTCCTATATCTGATGAACAATGTCTGGGACTTCTTCTGATGGTGCTTGTTTGGTTGGGGCTGGTGTCTGGTTGCCGACATGGTTAAATATGAATGCCAATGAGCATTTTAACAAGGAAATATGTTTTGGCTTTTAGAATCAATGTCTTAGTCCAGTACCATTATGGCAAGTTAAAAAGTGAGTGTATATGAGGTGAGACTGATGTAGAGGAGGCATAGATGCTACATCCTCAGCTAGTCAAGAGGCCTTGTAGGGGAGACATTAATGAAAAGGCATTCATGAGCAACTTCCCTGATCATTGGAGATTGTGCAAGGAGTCTAGTTTCCGTACGATTTCATGATGAGGATATGTCACTTTCACATTGAATTTTCAATTTTGGCTTAGTATACAAGTATCTCTTAGGTTTGAATGAAGTTATTTCATCAATTTTCCTGGCACATGTAGTTTGGTGCTATCTGTGACTTTCACCTGGGTGATATCCTAACATGTGATAGCCGTTGGATCACCTGAAATGTTTACATTCTGGGTAGCCTCATAGAACTTTATTTTACTGAAAAAAGTAGCTCCCAGACCTGTAACATTGGTGATCGCCCCCCTTAGCTGTATATTGGTTGTTTGGAACCAATATACAGCTAAGGGGAAAGGAATTAACTTTATCTTCAATTTTCATATCATTGGCATTTTGGAGTTGCCGGTTCTGAATGCTTGTTTTTAGTGCCTCACACTTGCGGAAAGGAATTGCACTCTAGCTGGATATCTCCGCAATGTCAAACAGTGATATTCTATTTTTTGTGAAAAGGCAGCTTTATTGTTTTTTGGCCCTTTGACTTTTTTTTTTTGTTTTGTTAAACATAAAACCTATGAGAATCCCAAAGAGTATGCTTGTCTTGAAGAAATTTCAACTCTGATGTTCCATGAATGTTTTGCATAAACTATTACTGCAAAAAAGTTAGGAGCTAGAGACATGCATAAGATTATATATAGGTTGTAATTTGCATCTTTACTTTACAAATCTTCGTGTTTTGTCTTTAACAATTGGATTTGACATTTTCATATGAAAATTTTCGCTGGATGCCTAATCTTTCTGTTCCATTCCTTTCTGTAGGCCTGCTGTTTCTTTCTTCAAAGTTGGGTCTCAAAGAAGTTTATGACTGGATGGTATCTAACAAATATATGATTCCCTGTTCTATCTCAATATTTTCGTTTGCACTGTATTTGAAATGCAGTGTACCACCAGAAGCGAACCAAATGGCTGAGTTCTAACCGCTTTCAATATTTGAAATGCAGTGTCGTTCTCTTCCCTGTTGCGGTTACGTTCTTTGTAACCTGGTGGTTTATTGAATTTGTCGATGGCTTTTTCAGTCCCTTGTATGAGCATTTGGGCATTGACATTTTTGGTGAGTTTCTGCCTTTTTCATGCATTTTGTTACCTTCTCAACAATAAATTGATGCTTATTTGGCAGTTTTAAGCTATCAGTATTAGCAAAGTACTTTAAGTTTATGTCTGTATGTCTAACAAATGAAGTGCAAAACAATGTTCTGCTGGAATTTCATGAAACTTTCTGGGTAAGAGCCGGCAAGTTCTTATGTAGTTACTATTTTGTTATTATCCAGTAATCCACTTTCAAAGTTGTTAGTTGTTGTGTCGTGGTAGGTCACAAGTGGTAAAAGACTATTATAAATTATGTTTTGCCATTAGAGGATTATAATGAATGAAAAGAATGAAGTAAAAGAATTCTCCTCCGAAATGGTCTTTCTGTTCCTTATCTCCCTTCTGATGAATTTCTCTTGTTAGACTAATAATCTAACATATCCAGTTAGACTAATAATCTTACATATCACAAGTGTGCATCAAGCGAGTAAACTTTACAGTTACCTCCTTAATATACAACCTTGATGTATGTGGTGGATCTTGGATTCATCTTTCGGTAGGAAAACAAACATTAGTTATGATGTTTTCTGATTTTATCTTATAGATGATTGAACTCTCTTTTCCCTTTTAGCATCTCCAAATTATTTAACTGATCTCAACGATAATTTTTTTCCTACTTTTTTTTTCTTTTCTAAACCTGTTGTCTCTGTGCATAGTTATGTCCCTGAGTGTGGGGAAAAGAAAAGATGCTAAAGAATGCCTAGTTATTGTGTTATCACCTAGCGACGTGATATGTATATGGAGTTTGCCAGTCTTATCAGCTTGCTGCGAGTTTTCTTTGTTGGAGTTAGCAGATTATGGATTATGATGTAGTTTATGAATGAGAATGATTTGTAAAAAACTGCAATCTTTTGGGACGCTGGCTTCAAATTTAAACTTAAAATTAGAAGAACCTACACCCTCAGGGTTCCTTGAAGTACCAGGTATCTCAAGGCTTGGCTGTATGACTGGTTTTTATTTGTTTAAAGATCTTATTTGGCATGCTATCACTTCAATACCTATAGCATTAAAGTAGGGTCAAAAGCTTTCATAGACGCATGGCTCAACTCAGAACCATCATCTAGAAGGTAGTTTACAGGGTGCCAGTTTTTCCTCACCAAATACTTACTTTTCCAGGATTGAGTCCAAGGTTTTTAAGGTTACAATAGAATTATTTGTGGTGAAAGTTTTGAGAGTTTGTCTGTTCTTTCTCTTTTCTAAGTTAAAATTCAACTTTTTGTAATAAATCCAGTGGTTTCGATAGTTTACTTGAAGTATATTTATCCAGTGTCACTTGGCTTTTGTTAGTTGGATATCTTCAGTTAAGGCAGGAACTTACACATAGTTGCCAGCTCTTCTACCGACAGCTCAGTGGATATTTTGCCTTTTCTCTCTCCCCCTTCATTTCCTTCTGGTTTCTAAGTTTATTATACGAATTTAACTTATCTTTATTGTATTTTATGAATTAGAATGCTTCATTAGTCAAACATAGCAATATTTGGGAAAACTTACTATAAAGTTACTATGAAAAGAAGATCCTATAACTATTAGGACTCCCAGTAAAACCTCTCATGGCTGATTGACACCTGATTTTCTATCCATTTAAAGGTCTTTGGATGTTATAACTTAATAACCTAGGGGATTAAACTAGGATCAAATGTTATCTTGGAGACACAGCTTAGTTTATTTGTGGATGCTACGCCTACCATCATCAAGAAGGTAGTTTATGCGGAAGCAAATAGGTTCCAGCTTTTCATGGTTACATTACAAATTTATGTGGTCAAAGAATTCGAGATAAATTTTCGGAATTCAACTAAATGTAATAAACTTAGTTGTTTCCTTAATTTGCTTAACTTTTACATCTTCGGCATCACTTGGTTTTGTAAGTTGGATATATTCCTTCTAGGCAGGAACTTTTGAAGGAGTAGCTTTTCTACTAAATGTTTGAGTGTATAATTTACCTTTTCTCTCTCCCCACTTTATCTTCTTTATTGTGGTTTCAAGGTTCCTTTAATTTTAAATTTTCTCTTCTCTTTACTACCAAGTGTGTTTCAAGGCTATGCTTTGTTGATGCAGGACTTGGATTTATCACATCCTTAGTTTTTGTGTTCCTTGTTGGCGTGTTTGCATCTTCATGGCTGGGGGCGACTGTTTTCTGGATTGGAGAATGGATTATAAGGCGAATGCCATTTATGAGGCATATTTACTCAGCTTCCAAGCAAATCAGTTCTGCGGTTTCCCCTGGTAAAGACAAGTTCTCCTTGATCATGCTAGAATTTCTGTGCCCTCTGTTCGCATCTCCTTTGGTTTTGACTTCATTAAGGTGCAAACAATTGTTACTGCTGGAAGCCTTGCTTCTCTTGTCTAGGTATTATTCTGCATGGAAGATATTTGTTGCAATTGGCATGTACGTCTGTAGTTAATTGTACAGTTTGACTGTTTCTTTCCACTGATGAACAAATTGTTGTCTCTTTGTCATTGATAATTGTTGAAAATTATTTTGGGCTGAACTATATTCTTCTTTAATCAAAATCTTTACTGGACTTCTCCAGTTCATTTGGTCTTTTATAGTTTCTGTATGTTAAGGCCACCATCAAAGTAATGGAGCTACTGTTGATACTTGTGGTCTTAATTTATGATGACCCCCTGGATATTGGAAGCAACATATGTATTTGGTAGAGTATTTGTTTGTGATTGTGTGCTAAATCTTGGCAACACATGTTTTTCAGTTACTAAAAGTGTTGAGCAACTATAACTGTGCCATCCAGGCAAGACTTTTGTTAACATAGCATTGAGATTTTTCTCTGGTTGGTAGTTGAGTGCAAATCGTGTCCTTGTTGTCAATTGTCGCTGCTTTTGTATATTGTAACCTTAGGACTGTGATTTCGAGGAATCTTCTAGCTTAACTTATTGAATTTTTTTTCCAGATCAAAATACAACTGCTTTTAAAGAAGTGGCGATCATACGACACCCTCGTGTGGGTGAATACGCCTTTGGATTTATCACTTCAACTGTCATTCTTCAGGTATGTTTTGGTTGAATAATTACTTGAACTATCTGTTGTTTCCATCTCTGTGCCCTTTCACTTCATGCTTCATTGAGAAAAATTATCTACAGTTGCGCAGAAGTTCTTAACTTACCGTTACCAGTTGGGTATTCTGTTTCATGAGCTGATTGCATTACCCTTTTGATCATAGGAATTACTCTTATTTCTGGCGTCTTATTGAGGATTCTTAAATATCATTCTTCCTTATAATTTTAGCAGCATTTTACTTCTAAATTATATTTTTTAATGCTGTGTCATTTGTTGTCTGGCTGTATAATTTTTCTAAAATGTTTAACCCAAAAAAGGATTCAGTAGAACACCAATATTTGCTTGGACTTGTTTAATTACGGCCATTTCTAAATGAAACTAAGGAAAAAGTCTAACCATAATAGTACTGTTGCCATCGATTTGTTTCTGGGGGAGGGTGTGTGTGGAGAAGGGAGCTTGTTGAGAAGTATAAAGAGACACTAAAGGGGCAGGTGGCTGGGGGTCTGTGGACAGTTAAAGTAGGACCCAAAGATGATGGAATCTCCAGGAATAGGATTAGGAAGTTTCTTGACCAATAAATTTGGAGAACATTTCTTAGCGGCTCAATTAAGGTTGACCTTAGCATTGTGTTGCGTGGTATTTACCTTTCAAATGTACCATTTTGCTATCCTTAAAACACTTCTTCTTCCAATTTGAAATATCAGCTCGTTCTGATGACATGATATATAAGTAACTTGAAAAATTCAGGCGTGACAGCATTGTGTGAGCTGTCCTAATGAGAAAACAAAAGGGACTTCTCATGGAGTTTAAGTGATTCCTTCGCCAGCCACTGCTTCTGTCCTGAGATAGTGAGCAATTTTTTCTCCATAGAGTAAATCGTTTGCTTGTGTCGTATATTGCTTATTTTTATCCTAGTTGAATAAGCACTTCCTAGCATTGAGAATATTGAAGTTACCTGGATATTTTCTTCCAGTTTAAGTTGAGTTGAAGAATAACAGCGAGTTTTGACACCAATTATGGGCTCCTTCCAAGTGTAGTGCAAGCTCATTTTCAAGACACACATGTTATGAACTGGCACTAGGAGGGGGTTTATTTTGTTATACAATGATGTCGGAAGAATCACTGCATCTTAATTGGTGAACCTCATGACCGTTCTGAGCATTTTATGGAGGAATAGTGGGATAAGAATTTCTAGTATGAAGTTGATTGGCTGTGGATACTCCATGATGAATCTATGGTTCTGCTAGATTTGTTTTCATAATGTTGAAGAAGGTAAAGCTTTTGAAACTGAGTATATGGGGAAGAAAAATGGAATAAAGGTTTAGAATTGTTGAAGGTCTCCTGGTTGCTTCTGCTTAATACCGAGTCCCTTCTATGGATGTAGGACTTTCTTTTGTGGTTAAGGTATTCGGTTGAACATATGGGGAAGAAAAATGGAATAAAGGTTTAGAATTGTTGAAGGTCTCCTGGTTGCTTCTGCTTAATACCGAGTCCCTTCTATGGATGTAGGACGTTCTTTTGTGGTTAAGGTATTCGGTTGAACCTATTCAAGCCTGATTGGGGATCTATTATGCCCGAAAGTTGCCTTTCTGAGTTGATTGCAGGCTTTGGTTCCAACCTCGGCCATGTACTGGGCAATGTCAGGGGTTAGTGAATTTCTGATAGTCTAGTGGTACATTGGATGATACTGATTGGGATAGACTCAAATATTTTAACTATAGCTTCTGAGCAAAATATGTAGTAAAGGTTGGCAGATGTTCATTAAAACAGTTTTGATTGTTTGGCAAGTAGGGAATAGTGCTGCATGGTAATACATGCAAAGTGTGGTAGTAGGATAGCAAATCGAAGTGCTTCTCCTGATAGCTAGGAATAAAACCTTCCAGTACCTTATTTAAATTTTTAGTTAATCGTATATGAATTTCAATTGGGCTTCATAGAACTTCTTTGTTTGTTTTCATAATTAGATCTAATGAAATAATTTATGATGTGCAGTTGTTTAAATGCTTGCTAATTTGCATATTGTTTGCTTACAGAGAGATGATGGAGATGAAGAGTTGTGCAGTGTATTTGTTCCAACAAACCACTTGTACATAGGTGATGTACTCTTAGTTAACTCCAATGATGTAATACGGCCAAATCTATCAATCCGTGAAGGCATAGGTATGCTACTTTACTCCTTTTCTCTTTGCTTGAATGTGTTTACAGACTCTCGTTTAAGTTTAGTGAATCAGTGATTAATTTGATCAGCCTATATTTTATTTCTCTCTCCCTCTGTTTAGAGCTTGGAGAATTTAACAATTTGGTCTCATTTTGTAAGCTGAGAAAGAATATTTATTAGTTTAGTTAATGACATTAGTATTCTAAGGCTAAGCGAAATCTCAGAAAGGATCAATTTATTTAAACCGTGAAATATGCTCTGGGCAAAGAATAAGGAAATAAGAAAGCTAACTATCGAAGCCCCTATGGTCTAAGCTTGTCTTCCGGATAGATTGCTTTGCTATTCTTAAGCACCGTATCTTCTTGCATTTGTTCGAAGATGGATTTCAAATGTGGTAGTTGAATGTTTGGAAACCCCTTCATGGGCGGTGTTTATATGTACTGTTACTGCTAAGCAACTGAGATACTTACCACACTACAGAGCAAAGCAGAGAGCTACTGGGCTTGTTTACGTGTATGAACACCCTAGTGCTATAGATTGTCCTCCAGTCCTGTAACTGAACACAATGTGGAAGTTTGATATCACTTCGTGGAAGACTCGGAAACTGGTCTTCTAATAGTTGCTATAGTAGTTTACTTTGCCTGGTTTTCTTTTATTGCAATATTGTGATATTTTTCTGCCTTTTCTAATGCAGAAATCATCGTTTCTGGAGGCATGACAATGCCACAAAGGATATCTCCGGCAGAGCGCAGACCGAATGAAAGGATTCCGATGAACAGAATTGTGTAATAATATAGTCAAAGAGTGACTTTGTAGCAGCACATGTATCAGTAATTCTTTGATTCATAGCGGTTCTATATTTTAAGGTTGATGGAAAGACAAGAAAGTTCACTAAATTTAGAAAGGCCATCATATCGAGAATTATTGTATGAATGTGGTTATCTTCACTACTCATTAGCTTACTTCGTTATGTAATTGCGTTAGTATCATAATTTGTTTATGTGGGTTTTCGTACCTTTGAACCCAAATCACATTAGTTATTGAAAATTGATACGCCAACGATATTTTCAAGCGAGATTCATGTATCTAACGTGGACTACTGAGGTGTTACCACTGTTGTTGACGGTAGACACCCTGCAATATGCTAAAAACTAAAAAAATAAAAAAAATTCTCTACCTCTCTATTTTTTCCCCCTTTTTTTTTACACACGCATATGATTAAGAAAACTCTTATTGTGGGGAAAAAGAAAAGAAGAGCTAAAGTTAGATAACTCTTTACTTTGCTACCCAACAACTTACTCCACAATGTTATTTAATTTCATGTACGTCATCATTTCATATACATACACTATAAGTTTCCTTATTTCTCCTTTTATTTTAGAGAAAATGTCTATCGTCCTCCTACAATATGCAAAAAATAATTAAAAAAAACAAATAACACTCTTCCCTCAATTGTACGAGGCTGTACCAGCAGACGTGGTGTGTTCCGAAGATTTTAGTGTTGTTGGTTTCTTATTTAAGATCGCCAAATAACTGTACTTAAATAATTTTATACTATGTTTCGACATATTATGATCAAAATTTTGCAGAAATTTATTCTTTCATATCTAGAATCAAGTTTTGGACTAGTTTCTTAACCGCTGATTATTATATCTGTTCAAAAGATACAAAAATTAGATGAGATGGTTCTAAGCCTCTAACACCTCACATAATTAAATGGATGCCTTATTAGGGTCGTTGTCTGCTACTCTGCTGGAGCTTCCAAAGATGCCAAACAAACAGTGCTTGCACTGCTGCTTCAGTAGACCAAAATCCAAAAGTAGACGATTTGTCTATGCCTCCTCAATGGCCTTTAATGTTTGGTTGGAGAAATTTCAAAATAATTTCCGGTACGTATTTTCTGCAAAATGCCGCCAGCCCTTTTTCCTCACCCCAACAATTCAATTTGTAAACGTAACATAGATACACAAAAGAAAAAAAAAAATACATTTTTGCTCTTCAGTCTTCTTTGCCTTCCAAATTCCCATATTAATTTGGATTTTTAGAATATCTTTTCCACAAAATGTGGAAAATTGTTTTTGTGGAAAATTGTGATTGAAGGCAAGTTAAACACCTCACATGATAAGACACCTTACTTATTGATCAATAATTTACAGGTTCGAGTCACGCCGGAAGTAAGTGAAAAATCACTATTGATCCGTTTAAAAAGGTAAAAAAAAAAAAAAGGCAAGTTAAACATCACATCAATAAGACACCCATCTTTAGAATATCTTTTCCACAAAATGTGGAAAATTGTTTTTGTGAAAAATTGTGATTGAAGGTAAGTTAAACACCTCACATGATAAGACACCTCACTTATTGATCAATAATTTACAGGTTCGAGTCACGCCGGAAGTAAGTGGAAAATCACTATTGATCCGTTTAAAAAGGGAAAAAAAAAAAGGCAAGTTAAACATCACATCAAAGAAACGAACAAAGACATTCTTTTAACTGTGTGTGTGAGAAATGAAGGTTGGCGTGAGAAAGTTGAAGTCTTCATGCATGTTTCAATTCAAAATGGTATTTGCTATCCATCATCCCAAAGTTATATAAAAAGAACATTTCCCTTTTCTTAATTTACTCAGAATATCATAAACTCTATGGCGGCCATGGATTCTGCTTCAATCATGAGTATCTTGGCCAAACCTCAAGGGAGTAGCTTACATATTGCAATGTTTCCATGGCTGGCATTTGGTCACATGATACCATTCTTAGAATATGCAAAATTCTTAGCCAAAAAGGGCCACAAAATCTCCTTCATTTCCACCCCAAAAAACATCGATCGTCTCCCAAAAATCCCTCCAAATTTAGCATCTTCAATCACTTTTGTGAAGCTTCAATTGCCTCGAGTCAATGGGCTCCCTGAGAATGCTGAGGCCACAATGGATGTTCACAATGATGATATTGAGTACTTAAAAAAAGCCTATGACGGGCTTCAACCCGATTTAGCTTCTTTTCTGAAAAACTCATTGCCGGACTTGATTATCTACGACTCTGCTCCGTTTTGGCTCCCTGAGACGGCGGAAAAGCTCGGAATCTCGCGTGTTTTCTTGTGTCTGTTCAATGCCTGGTTCCTCTGCTTTTTCGGGCCAACGGATGTCATGGTGAACGGGTCAGATCCAAGAAAAGACCCGGAAGATTTCATGGTTTCAGCTCCCTGGGTGCCATTTGAAAACAGAGTAGCCTACCGGAGATTCGAGATCAATTGGATGATTGGTTCCGGGAAAAATAACGTTTCCGGCGTTTCGGACATATTCCGAGCCGGAAAAATCCTTCAGGGATCTCAGGCAGTACTAATACGACATTGCCCTGAATTCGAAGGACAGTGGTTGAACTTACTTGAGGCGCTCCATCACAAGCCGGTGATTCCATTAGGCCTAATGCCGCCGCCACGGGAACAATTCGACAGCTCCGATGACTTCAACGAAACATGGGTTTCGATTAAATCATGGCTAAATGCTCAAAACAAAAAATCAGTCCTATACGTTGCGTTAGGGAGTGAAGTATCATTGAGTCAAGAAAATGTTACTGAGCTAGCAATTGGTTTGGAATCTTCGGGGGTGCCGTTTTTCTGGAGTCTAAGAAAGCCGGCGTGGTTAAACAAGTCATTTGAGCTGCCGGAGGGATTCGAAGACCGAATTCAAGGGAAAGGAATGGTGTGGAAAGATTGGGCACCTCAGATGAAGATACTCCGGCACCAATCCGTGGGAGGATTCTTGACTCATTGTGGTTGGAGTTCTTGTGTGGAGGGAATCTCCGTCGGGCTTCCGTTGATTATGCTGCCGTTTCTGGTGGACCAAGGTTTGAATGCCCGGGTTCTGGCGGACAATGGAGTTGGAATCGAGATTCCGAGGAATGAAGAAGACGGGTCTTATACGGGTGATTTGGTGGCTGAATCTGTGAGGTTGGTAATGATTGATGATGACGGGAAGAGATTCAGAGACAAAGCTTCAGAATTGAGTTTGACTTTTAGTGACAGTGAAATCCACCAATCCTACTTGGAAAAGTCAGTCAATTAAGTCACGGAGAGTAGTGTCATTTACACGGCAGAAATGAATTTTGTGGACGGATTATATGGTTTTATTATTAGCAGCACCAAGAGCGAGGCTAAAAGTTTCACCATCCGGATCAACTCGAGTCAGGCTAGAAATTTCACCATCCCGGTCAAATCGTTGCTAATGCATAATTTTTGTAAGGGGAATAGTATAAGTATATTCCCGCAATGTTTTGTTTTTAAAGATTTAGGCGTTAGCCTCATTCGTTGTATCAACTTAAAAGTTTTTTTATTAAGATCCTTCTCGTAGTTGTATCTCTTTAGTTTTCAGGTACTCTTAAGAGTAATCAATGATTCCGTACTTCCATACCATTTTGATCATTGCCAACCTCAGTTGTCATGTTCGGGTATTCAGTTTCAGTGGATTACTGATAACTAGAATACTGATTTATCAAATCGATCTCCTTATGCATTACATACGTATGATCTATTGAATCTCTATAAAGTAACTGTATTACATGTGTAGAAAGGGCAAACAGACTCTTGTAGAAAGTAACTATTTTTGAGTGTAAATATCAGCAGAAAGCAATTCAGATGTTGGGAAGAGGCTCAAATCTTCTGAAGCATCAAGAATTTTCAGAAGGAAAAGATGTCAAAACTGTGGGAGGGAGTCTATTTCAGCACCTTCAATTAAGCTTCCCTTTGACATTACATTAAGGTAAGGGAATCTTGTTTATTCTGAATTGGCTGCTTAAAACAACATTGTATTGGTTGGTCCTAATTGGTTCCCCCGTTGACCATATGTGAACAGGATGCGCCTTCATACTGGTGAACTCCCTTGGTTGAGATCATCATAGAACGGCAGAATCCACTTTGGACCTGAATCGCGTACCTACAATAATCGACTTAACTTGTTAAATTGTTCTTGGCACAATAGACAATTTAACTGGTTAGTAATGATTATGAGAAAATTGAAAATGTTGTTAGCATGCATCTGGAAACCATATTGATCTAGTATCATCTCTTCGAGCCTCTCGTTTCCTCTTTCAGTTGAATTTAGACCTTAGTTGGAAACTCTTTTTTTCTTGGGAAAACATAGGAGGCTGGAAGTTCTTGCGTTTGATATGGAAATTAACAAAATTGTGGCTTTGGAGGAGGAATTAAAGAGGATCTACTGAAACTGAATACTCTTAGTTAAAGGACTCAGAAGTCAGGACCTATGATGACTGATGAGTGCCTTTTATCCTTCTCAACACAATCATTCACAAGATTGCTTCTTTTTTTTTTGAAAAAAAAAAAAACCCTCTAGAATCTGAAGCAACTGCTACAAATTCTCTAGTCAAAGAATCAGATTTCCTGTGACAAACTGGAAAAACTTCAAGAGGAATTACTTCTGGTTAAGGAAGAAAAGAGAAGACACCAGATCACTCAGTTGGGAATGCTGGATACTGGTTCAAAGACATCAAAGGAACTTGAGGTATAATCTAGTCACACATTACGACTAAAACTAGATGTTTGGCCCAGGCAGATGCCCGGACGTCCCTTTTAAATTACTATTTTATTAAAATTTAATTAGATTACTATTTTTTGAAAAATTAATTTGGCGTATATATCATTTATGCTATGGGTGAGGCTTAAAAAATATACCTATAAATATGAGGTTATAAGGGAATAATAAATAATTAGTTTATAAGACATTATTTTTAATTACTGGATTTAGGTATTTTTATTTTTTTATTTATATTAAGCCTGCAAAACTATACAATTGGACATTTGAATTTGAATTAATATATCCATTCGTTTGAAATGTAACTGATCCTTATTTGTAGTAAAACATGTGTATGTTTCTTTTTTAAAAAAAATTATATAGCTTCTAATTAAAAAAGACTTACACGTGGCAAAAAGACTCATGAAATCTGAAATATGGTACATTGGAGCCAAAACAGATGCATACGTAGTTGCCACATAAGCTTCATGTTTTCTGCTTTAATAGGGTAAAAGGGATGTCCAAATGGTCTCTTACATTTGAGGCTACTTGAATTTACGTCCTTAACATTAATATTTTAATATCATAATCCCAAATATTTTGTTTTCAAACTTTTTTTTGTCCCATTTCACTGTTTCGGCCACTTTTCCGTCCAACTCGATGTTGACTGGCCGTTGACATGCCGGAATCACGGTATTTTCGTTTTTTTTATTTAATTTGAACTTTTATTAAAATTTAAATCATTAAAATATTATAAAATTCATATTTCATAATTTAATTATTAAAATATTATCTTATTTATTAATAATAAATAAATATTATTTCCCAACTTCCTTTAAAACTCCACGACCTCCGCTGCCGCCACCCGAACCCCATCAAATTTTCCACCGTCCCCAAAGTTTCCGCCACCATCAGTGCTTGATGGCTTTTCCTTCACAATCAATGGCCAGTCTTCTTTATTTTGCATTTGCAGTAAACTTCCAAGAACTTTAGCACAAAGTGGTAGACCAGCACATCGTTTTATGATCTGCTCTTTCATCGCAATCAATTGTTCTGGTACTTCTCCCCTCCCAGCGACCTTGTCTTTCAAGATCGATCAGCAATCATAGTTGGACAGTTTCCTTAACTGATGCTGTGTTCCCATCCTGATTGCTGCTGATTATGACGAGACACCAACTTCTTTCACTTATTGCACTGATTCCCTCCAAAGACTCGTAAAAATTATCCCATGACAGTGGATCCACATTCCACACCTCATCCAAAACTAAAAAGGTATCAAGACGTTTCCTCATTTCTTGCACAATAGTCTCTTCACTACTGTCGGGTTGAACATGCCCCCCAATCGCTCCCATGTCAATTTGAGAATCCGCCTTCCATCGAATTTCTTGTAAGAGACACAAACCCAAATCCTTTTCTTGAAGTGGCTTTGGATTCATTCATGGTTGAAGACTAGTTTCGCCACAGTTGTTTTACCTAAACCCCCACCATACCTATTATGGGAAGAACAGAAACAACTTTTTCAGCAGAGATCAATAAAATATTCACAACTTTGGATATATCGTCATTTCCTCTGACAACATTTGGAGCAAAAACAGAGTTCGTCTCCCGATTCATTGAAGCTCCAACAATAGCAATGGAAAGCTGTGAAGCTGTCATTCTATGTTGCAACCCAAATGCATTAGCTTGCTGATTGATGTCTTCAAGTTTGTCGATGATGTCTCGAACCTTACGAATCATTCTCCAACGAAAAGAAATACTATGGCGATCTTTCAAGGAGAAAAAGAGGAATTTTTACACAAATTTCCCCTGTTTTGGTTCCTCGATTTCACCTTGTGCCGAAGGATTTGTTAGTGTATTGTAAATATATATTGTAACTTTAATGTTGTATATTTACTTAGTTACCATTGTAACAAACCCTAACCCTAATACATATCTATAAAAAGGTTTGTGTTGCCATGTTCAGGGCAACTTCGGCCGTCCAAACTTGTGCCGTTGTCTTGTATTTTCTCATGGTATCACGAGCAAGGTTGATCTTGTTCTAAAAATTCACATTTTTTTCCTTCATCATGGGTGATCGCATTGAGTCCTCTACTGTGTCCGGCAAGGGAGTTGCTACCAGTGGCAGTAACAGTGATGCGGTCAATCGAAAAAAGATTTCTCCATATGATTGACGACAAATGATAACCCAGGTTTGATGATAACTCATGTTCAATTCAAAGGCCATAATTACGAAGACTGGTCGAGAGCAATCCGAACGGCGTTACGGGCTCGAAAAAAATTCAGTTTTCTTGATGGATCAATTAAACCACCGGTTGATGATGAAGATCTTCTTGCTGATTGGTGGGCTAACAATAGTCTCCTTTGTTCTTGGGTATTGAATACTATTGAACCAGCCACCCGTTCATCCATTTCTTGCTTGGAGGAGGTACGTGACTTGTGGCTGCAAATTCAATCCCGTTTTTCGGTGGTAAATGGTACAAGAATCCAGCAACTCAAGGCATCCGTGGCTGAGTCCAGGCAGAAGGGCATGTCTTTGGTTTCATATTATAGAAAATTATTGAAGTTGTGGGAAGCATTGGCTGACTATGAACAACCGCCGACTTGTCAATGCGGCTTGTGTTAGTGCAATCTTGCTGCAGTGTGGGATCGAAAGAGAGAAGATGAGAAAGTGCACCAATTTCTAATGGGTTTGGATCCGGTTCCGTATGGTACTGCTCGGTCCAATATTTTGGTGCAAGATCCGCTCCCGAATCTAGATCGTGTGTATTCGATCATGGTTCAAGAGGAATGGCTTCATTCCATCTCTATTGATTCTGAACTCCCTAGCGGTGAAGCGGCTGCTTTCGCTGTCGAATCTGCTACTCCAGCCCTGATGCCTGGTTCGCATTCTGGGACGTCGTCTGCTGCTGCATCAGGTTCGCGTGGTCGTGGTCGGCGGACTGGAGTTGATCGCAGCCAGCAGCTTTGCACATACTGTGGCCGCCTTTACCATGATGAGGAGTCGTGTTTTGAGAAGCATGGTTATCCGGAGTGGTATTGTGGACCTCGTGGAAATATTGCTGCTGGTTCCGGGTCTCTTGTTGCTCCGCCAATGCGAGATAATGGTGCTGGACGTGGACTTCTTTCAACCGGGCATGGACAAGGAGCTACAAACCCTGGTCGCAGTTCTGGAGTTGTGAAAGCTCACGCAACCCATGTTGTTGATGCTCTAGCTGACTCCGTTGTGCTGGGAGAAGGTGACAAAGCCATCTCCAGTTTGAATGACGACCAGTGGCATAAGGTGATTGATTTTTTGCAATCCGGCAATAATTGTTCACACACCTCCCTCATCGGTAAGAATTTTTCCGCTAAATGGATGTATGATTGTGGTGCTACGCATCATATGACCGGATTTTTAGAATATTTTTTGGATATTCGGGACATTGTGTCGTGTCCGGTTCAGCTCCCGGATGGCAAATTGACTATGGCTCGCAAGGCTGGGACGGTTTATCTTAATAACTCTGTGAAGTTACTTAATGTTTTGTTTGTTTTGAGTTTACAATGCAGCTTGATTTCTTTGTTCCAATTGCTGGACCAATCTCATTGTGTAGCTCAATTCACTAGTACATTTTGTGTTATACAGGACCGTACTTCGAGGACGGTGATTGGCGTGGGTGAACCGCTGGGGGTCTCTATTTCTTCCGGGGGACGGCAACTTCGGTTGCTGTACGTACTGGAGGTCACATTTCTTATTCTTTGTGGCACCAACAACTAGGACATCCGTCGGCTAGAGTGTTTAAACATTATTTCGTTCAAGAGGGATTTGCCATTCAAAAAAGGTGTGGGAAGACGATTGATCAAGTGGGCAGCAGTTAACACACAATGACCCCAATACTCAAGAGGTAAATGAGCCTGAAATCGTAACGCACGAGCTACATTCAAAGTATGTTGATGCTTGCGTTCAACACGACCATTTTGTTGTGGTGTTCCCACATAGGATGTTTCATGTATTATGCCATGTTTACGAAAATAAGAATCCATACAGATGAATTCAGAACCATTGTCACTTCGCACAACTTTGATCAATTTTCCAAATTGGCGTTGAACCAGAGCAAAAAAATTCAACAAAGTAGTAGACATCTCCTTTTTATCATGAAGTAAGAAAAGCCATGTAGCACGCGAGAAATCATCAACCATAGTCAAGAAATAACGTGCACCAGAAAAAGTGAGAATCTGATATGGACCCCACAAATCACAATGGATTAAATGAAAAAGCTCAAAAGTGTGAGTCATACTAACAGAAAAACTATCTCGCGATTGTTTTGCACGATAACAAAACAATCGTGAGATAGTTTTTCTGTTAGTATGACTCACACTTTTGAGCTTTTTCATTTAATCCATTGTGATTTGTGGGGTCCATATCAGATTCTCACTTTTTCTGGTGCACGTTATTTCTTGACTATGGTTGATGATTTCTCGCGTGCTACATGGCTTTTCTTACTTCATGATAAAAAGGAGATGTCTACTACTTTGTTGAATTTTTTTGCTCTGGTTCAACGCCAATTTGGAAAATTGATCAAAGTTGTGCGAAGTGACAATGGTTCTGAATTCATCTGTATGGATTCTTATTTTCGTAAACATGGCATAATACATGAAACATCCTATGTGGGAACACCACAACAAAATGGTCGTGTTGAACGCAAGCATCAACATATTTTGAATGTAGCTCGTGCGTTACGATTTCAGGCTCATTTACCTCTTGAGTATTGGGGTCATTGTGTGTTAACTGCTGCCCACTTGATCAATCGTCTTCCCACACCTT